GTGGCATAAGCTCTCTCATGTGAAACCTACACACTTCACTTGGCCAGGGATAAAAAAGTATGTAAAACTCTAGTATGTTTTTTGTAATTTGCTCTATGAGCATGATGGAATTCTATAGACAATAAAGCCTGGATGGGGGTATCTCCAATCCCGAGCAGTCCACTAAAGCAATCAACTGTCGTCATCCCCCCCCTGACGATCATCTTCGTCTGCAAAGCTACTAAACATTCATATCCACCTCCGTGCGTGTCCGTCGTTCTCATGATAGTGAGCCGTTACCCAACGCCAACAATGCTAAAGTCAAAAGTGCTGCCAAATCAAACGGCTTCCTCGTACAATAAAAGATTACCACTCCGCGAACTCAAGTGCTGTACTTAAGAGCGGTGGGAGTAGGGCTCGTAGGCAGTCTCACCACGGGCACCGCTGGCGTAGCGGGGAGCACCGTACTGGGTAGCCTGCTGCTGCTTGTGGAAGCCGTTTTCCTCGTGGATGGGCTGGTAGCTGCTGGACTGGGGAAGAAGCTTCTCGCCGTCGCTGTTGCGCTTGCGGTCCTTGCGGGTGTGGCTGGGAGCGCAGCAGCAGATGGTGAACATCCAGAAGAAGCCGGCACCGAGAGCGAGAGCGGCAGAGATCCAGATAAGAGCGAGGAAGCTGTTGTTGAAGCCAGCAGAGACACCGTAGTACTTGGCAGTGCCCTCAACAGCGCCAACGACGATGACAGACATGGCAGTGGAGAGAGCGGCGGAAGCGCAGACGGCGACGGAAGCAAGCGAGGCGACGAGGAAGGTGATGCAGGACATGACGCGAGTGCAGTTGGCGAAGATGCCGAAGACGATCTCAAGACCAAGGGCGATGAAGGCGATGATGTAGGCAACCTGAGTCCACTTGGTGGCGGTCTTGAAGGCGGAGAGAGCGGTGGTGACCTCATCGGGAAGCTCGATCTTGCGGCCGGCAGCGGTTCCAATGGTCTCGAGGGTGGAGGTGTTCAGGTAGGAGGAAGCCCAGTCGAACTTGGCCTTGGTGCAGGTCTTGTCGCCGTTGGCGTCGGTGGTGCAGTAACCCCAGAGAGCAATGTCGTAGAGGTTGTCGAGGCCAAGGTCGGCGGCGGTGATGTTGCTGGTCTGAGTGGTAGAGTCGGTGGCAGCCTTGGTGATGGCGTTGTCACCATCGCCGGTGAGGAGAGCACGGTCGTGGTATTTGCCAAAGTTGACTGCCTTGACGTCCCTTGAGACTATACTTGATACCGAAGCAGGGTTGATCTCGAGATCGGTGAGGTTGACGCGGAACATGTAAAGGTCCTTGTTGGAAACACCGCCGAGGGCAGCGACCAACAGGAAGATCATGGAGCCAACGCTGAGGATGAATGGCAGAGCCACACAGATAACACGGCCGACACCCATCTTGGCTGTTGTGTGGTTGTTGGTTAAAAGGCTGGTGTATAAGTTTAGAGTTGTAGCGGTTGTAGATAGGCCGATTTCGGTAAGTGGGTCGTCGGCTTGTCGTCGGCTTGTCGTCAACGAATGTAACTAGGAAAGAAACGATCGTTGGTGGGAAAATGTATAAAGAGGAAGTGAAGGAAAAAAGGGAAGATGAGAAGCCCTTTTTGAGAGTAGTGTGTATGCGAGAGAGAGAGAGAGGCAAACGGATGTGAGTGTGATGAGTGTAAGAAGTAAGAGGCTGATACAGACGGACGAGCGTTGATGTTTATAAAACAGGAGGAAGGAGGGAGCAGGACCATAGGTGCAGGCTTGGAAGTGCCGTTACGTATTTTTGCGTAAGGCACAGTACGGCAAGGAAGGCGCAGGGCGAGCAGGTTGGGGCACTTGCAGTGGGCACCGTGGGAAGCGGAACATGGACAGGGACGCGGACGTGGCGCAGTACCGCGAAGTCGCGAACAGTGAACAGCTTTTTTTGGTGGAGATGGGACGGCTACTTGCTGGGGGCCACCGGGGGATGATTAGGTAAGGCAACTACAGAGTACTAGGTATTCACTCTTCACACTTCACCTTCACACACCTAAAGTACGGATAGTAATAGCGTTGCTGACGGGCTGCACAGTAGCGGGCCAACGACTCAGCCCCCGGCCCTGCTAGGAACACCCATGACCCTTGAGAATCCCTCGACCGAGCAACGGCGTCCCGTCGACAGGACAGCCAGACCCCAGGCTGCCAAATAGCAGACGGGAGCCGAACCGTAAAGCTACGAGGTGCGGGAGCAGTGAGCAGTGCTGTGCTACCTGTGCTACCTGTGCTACCTGTGCTATGCTGTGGCTTCCGTCTCCTCTCCTCCACTCTTTCTCCGAGCCTCTCGTCCTGACGTGTGTTGGTGGTGTTTTTCCTCGTCCTCTTTCCTCCCACATGCCGTGCGAAAACACTGTATCGTGCGCGACTCTCGAATCATCATCCATGTCCGCACATGTCCGCAAGGCATTCACGCATTCATCTTGCCGTCTTGGCCTTTGACGATGGAAATGACCGATGCAGCACCTTCCAAACACTGCTATGTATCCGCTTCAGAGGCTCTACTACCCTATTTTCACGGACACAGAGAGAGAGACACAGACATTGAAGCCGGGGGACAAGATGGGGAAGGCCTGGAATTAGGAATAAAGGTAGATGCTGACAGCCTGACAGGGATGTCCATCCATAGGGCAGATGCCGCGGTGACGCCACAGGCGAGTACCTTTCTGGCTATGCTGCCTGCGCACGGGTACTTTCTGACACTGGCGTCAAACCTTGCTCACCTTCACCTTTGCCTTAGCTGTCGAGCCCGGGATTCTGTTCCCTCCAGATCCTGCTACTTCAGCTGAGATACTGCTTCAACAGACTCACCTTCAAATAATGAGTTATTCCTCGAAGAGACATGCAGACTTGAGATGTTTCGGAGCATCTGCATGCCCATCGTCATCATTGGAAGTACGGGATGCGATGCCGGCCAGTATTATCAACGAGGCTTGGGACGACTAGGAAGTAACAAGTCCAATCTCACCGTACAGCAAAGCCGCCGCAGATTGATTGAACGTAGAGCCAGGCCAAGAGCCGGGCCAAGACACCATGGAGCTGAGCTTAGAATATGCTATTGTAAAGATACCTACCTAGACCGAAAGAAGATAAGCTACCTCAAGTGAGGATGGGTGGTAAAGCCGATGTGTGTGAGGTAACTGATTGTTATTCCCGAACGGCGAAAGTCCTCGGGAAGTTGGAACGTTTCCACTTGGTGCTCTCATCTCGTCGTACGCGTCCATTGCCTCGAATATCTCATTCGTCCTTGGCTTCGTGGCCGGTCGGACTCGTGGAAGTTCGGAAAAGATGAGATGGAACGGCGCACCAAGCACCACCACCATCATCATCGCACACTGTGATCACTGTATACAGCTGTGTACAGAGCCTCGCACACAAAGTTTGGAGAAACATGAACCCCCGGCCAGCCAACCTCCCGTTTCTTTCCAGATTCCCATGGAGAAGCATGGGAATGAATGAGTGGTCCTTGTCTGATATCACTGCGGATAGCAAGATTCATACGTCAATCACCATCCTTGGGACAGCCGATCGCTCGTGTGTTGCTCAAGGGACAAGTATACTAGCGGCGACCAGAGCAAGAAACGAAAACAGTCCAACAGGTTCAGGATGCTCACCAGAGTCGCATCTACATCAACGATTTGCCTTGATCGGCAGCCAGTCTCGCAGTCTGACACGTCCAAGCTGCTAGTTGGCTCCATCCGTCCACGCAATTAAAGTGGTCCAGGGGTTCGTCATCCTGCGGAGGCTCAGCTCTGTTTTTTTTTTTTTGTTTTTTTTTTTTGCTCCTACCAAGTTCTCGTCCTTCAAGACTGCGGAAGAGAGCATTACGGCATCACAAAAGAAGACTAGTGTGGTTTTTGTAACACTTGCAGCGCAGCACTTGGTGCCGGATTTTCCATTGCCCACGTTCCGAATTTTCTTCTTTTTGCCGTCTCACCTGCACATCTAGGTACTCCGTACTCCGTATAGCCATCAACATTGGCGTTTTGCTGTATTCATGGTGAAGTGGTAGTCAGCTCAGCCCCACGGGACGTGCTTGGTAACAACCGGCTATCGAACTAACTAGGCTGGCTGGCTGGCTGGCTGGCTGGGCTGGGCTGGGCTGGATGAGGTGGTATTAATGATGGTGGCTGGTCATCTTTTCGGGCTTCGCCAGATCGCCCACTTAGAAGCTGGCCCCGCTCCCCAGTGTCCCCCAACCCGTCTTTTTCCCAATTCCCTCTAGCACCAGCCGACGAGGCGGAATGGAACCCTTTTTTTTTTCTGTGTGTGTCTCTCTACCAGCTAATTTTAGAAACTCCTCCCGTCTCTTTTCTTTTTCCCTCCCACAATTCGTCCAACACCGCCCAACTGCCAACCAAACGGGGCCACCAACGCCCGGGTCCAACAACCACTTTCCGGTCGTCGGCGCCGAATCACGCATCGCGAGACTCAGTTTCAATACGGGGCCCTCTCGAGGGCCCTGAAGCCTGTGGCTCTTTCGATTTTTTAAGGTTGCCGAGCTTTCTCAAAGAACTAACAAGCGACCTTGAATTCATCGTCATTGGCTGGGCATAACCTTTCGACCCGTGACGAAGCCATCACCGCCACCATCGTCCAGCGCAAACTCCAGGAACAGGGCCTGAACCCGTAGATTAGCTCCCGTGCCGCCTTCGCCTACCTCGGCGAGAATTCAAAGAAACATGAACCTACAACGGATAGACCAGCTTATCAACCTCTGATGCATGCTGCGCGATGGTGACATCTGGCCCTGCATCCGAAAGAGGGGCCGTTGACGGCTCTTCTTTGACATGAACCCAAATTCTCTACGGACCCCCCAGCAATGTTGCAGTCACTTTACCCGTCGTGGCACCTCTCAGCCTTGAGCTGATTTGGCAGCTCCCGCAAAATACGTACGACTCGGCCGCGAACACCATCGTGGCTCGGCCAACCCCAAGCTCTATGTTTGCATCTCGCGGTGGAGCCTATATTGGCTAGAGGCTAGAGCTCGAATTTTGGCTCATGGGGTTTGTGGAGAGACGAACTCAGGCCGCTGCAGCCTGCAGCTTTGCGTTGGTTCGTTCGTCGCATTATCTGAATCTTGTCATCGTTGCTAACTTGCTGCTGCTTCTCTTGGCAAAAAGGTATGCCACCAGGCGCCATTCCCGCCCCACCTTCTGTAAGTTGTTGTCTTCTGCTGTGATTCTTTGGTGTTTTTGTTTGCTTCCTCATTTGGCAGAACTTGGACGATGGATATCCGTATCTCAGGCCCTGGCTGCAACGCTGTCCGTTAGGAGCGAACACCTAGATGCCCACGTAGATGCTGTGCGGAGTACATCCCGGGAACAGCTGTGCGATTAAACCTCGAATTTCACCGTCCCCCACTCACCTCACGCCGCGACTGCAAGAGCCTCGAACGACGTTTTCGAAAAAGTTCAACTCGAGTCGAGATCCGTTTCAGCGGCGAGAGCGAGATTTCGAGAGACCCTGAATCCCAGTCGGGGACATGCCCGGCAGGGAAGGGCCTGCAATAGCGGCCCCCAGATATAGGACCGCAGCCACGCAACCTTCTTTGGCCGGCTTCCGAGTCCTCTCTCGTGAATAAGACAGCCAGAAAGACGAAAGAGCTGGTTGAATGTTCGGGGTCCATGTCCGGCGGGGCCAGACACAATGCCCCTCCCTCCCGAAGGCGGCGATGCCGGTCTGACGCGCGGTGCACGGCGGCGGCATTACAAGACATCTCGCCATCCGCATGAATTCGCTCTTGCGCGGCCGGCTCTGTGGCGTGGTCACACCTCGGAGTACCGACTTGGACGAGCTCTACCGACTTATCGAGTCTTGCGCGCGGGTAAGCCTACCTAGGCTCGGTGAGGCCTTGTCTGCCTCTGGGTCTTCGGAGGGGGGGACAAGTCATCTGGCATTTTGAGAAGCCCGTTTGGCTGCATGCATGCCATGGGAACCATCCTCACGATTTCAAGAAAAACATCCATGGCTCTATGAGACCTACCGCGCAAACCTGCAGCCACGTAACCTATCGTGGACCACACACAACGCGGCCTACCGTCGCACGTCGCAGCTACCTATTCCAGATTCCTGTTTGTTGGATTTACCGGCAACGTGGGAGCCAAAAACCGCTTCCCCCGCCATTTTTGAGGCCCTCAACCACCGTTGCACGGCAGCCAGTTGCAGCACGTGCTCGCGTGGACGCGGGGACAACGCACCGAAGGAATGTGTGACACTTTTATCTGGAATGGAATGTCAGCATTGAGATCCTCAATTCATCCAATCTTTTCTCGATTCGCTCGTCCTGCTTCTTTTCGGCAGGTGGCTGTGTGGGGGTTTGTCAATCAGTCAGTGTCTCTCTTACACCGCTGCACCGAAGCCGGAAGTTTGAAGGTTTTGAGACAATTGGAACCGCATTCGTGGATTCGAGAGCGGTTCTCAAAGCGGTGATGAGAGTTACTATCAAACCGACATGCACAAGTGCGTGTGGATGGATTTCACCTATCAACGAAACCTCGGCTCATCATCAACCACAGAAACAATTCTTGAAAGCACTTGATATGTTCAAAGGAAAGAAAAAAGTGTTGGAAAAAAGCTGGACTGACCACACAACTCTCTACAAGGTGATCCGAGAGGCTATCGATCGCACGATGGTCACTTCTCAACATCCTCCCGTGTTTTCCACCCACCTTCACACACACACACACACTTTCCCTCTTTGGCCTCCTCCCCTCCCCTCCCCTCTCCTCTCGTCTCATCTCGGCTTGTTCTGCCTCCTCCCCTCTCCGCCCGGCTACCACACCCAAACTCGAACGCGCATACGAATAGCTGGGGAGTACCTAGAAGTTGCTGCAGATTCTATAATGCAATAACAGCAGTTGACCACGCGTCGGGGCGCTTCACAATTCTGTTTTTCTGTATAGAATCAGGGCAGGAGGCCGAGTGGTTTTCTACACGACGGTTAACGTATAGCAGACATAGCCCGCTAAGACACGTTGGACAAGAACTACTCGGCACCCAGTGTCGTCACTGGGGAGAGGCGGTCCAAATCTGACCGAGCGGAAGCGGGACGGGGGAGGGGAGGAGGGGAATGGGTGGCAAGACTCTAGAGGGGACATCTCCTCACTCGATACAAGTGGTTGGTGCCATTGTGGTGGTGGTGGTGCGGCGGAGGAGGTCCAGGCCCCCGGGCCATCTGCTGGCGGAGAACTTCTCCCACCTAGTTGGCGCTCTGATTGGCACCAGGCCTGGTCCTTTTCAAGCAGTACGAGCTACAGCAGTTGGAGACTTGTTGGAATCGAGTACATATGGATGAAAGTGATCCAACCTCGGAGCCCATCTACTCGGCTTGTCTTGCGCTGAGCCTCAACACATCTGGTCTGACTGGCTGCCAAGGTCGAAATGGGGAGCAACAAGCAGCAATGAGAGCAGTGAGGGGCTACTACAAGGTAGGCATAGGTGCCGACATGCAGACCACATCGTCCACAAACTCAATGTGTGTAATTGGGGAATATGGTGCGATTTCTCTCTTCATTGTGTGGAGGACAGGATGAAACTTGGCTTCAGTCTTGGGAATATCCCTCCTGTGTGAACGTGTGCTTACTGACTGCCAATTTGACGCTCGATATGCACCTTACTCTTGCTCTATATGCAGTATTATGAGTGTCGTGCCGGGACTCTTGTCTTCGTCTCAACCTTGTCTCTGCAACATCGACACAGGGGTTGGAGCTCCAAAAAGGGATCAATCACCCAAGCGCTTTTACACTTTGTGGCTACCTTACTTCATCCTAGCATAATTATTTATCTGGCTGGGCCATTTGGATTGTCAACTCAATACCTTATGGATAGTCTATACGTAGAGGCAATCAAGATCCCGCCTCTCTCGTGCGGGTCAATCAAGGTTATCAGAGATAAGCACCCAACATTGAACAGGCGCACGCTTTAGCCCAATATGTCCCACACATTCCCTTCCTCCCTTGTCTACTCTAGATTAATTCCATTGCAAAGCAAGGCAATGTGAGGGAAGCTAAGCAGGCGTGACAGGGCAGAGCAAGATAAATAGATTTACGAGCGGTGCAGCACAGAGTGTCACAGACAAGCTGCAGAAGAGGGAGAGAGAGTACTACCGTAGAAACTCGAGCAACTCGAACTTGCGCTAGCCCGTGCCAGCCCTGCTAGCGGCCCACACTAAGCCCTTTCGAGGGATCAGTTTTATCCGATTATATAATCGACTAAACCGTATACGGAAGGCGGTAAGTGATTATTTTCCATTTTTTACTCCTACCCAACTGCCCACTTCCACCGATTACATCACCGATTTGACCACCAATTATACTGTCAATTATACCTCCAATTACACCTCCACCACGGGCCTCGTCGACGTGCCCACGATGCCCTCACGACGGGCCCTTGCCGAGAAGGATTCGAATACGGCAAAAGTGCCAATTACACCTCCAGCAGCTAAGCGCCGCGGGCCTGCTCCTACCCCCATCAAAGACCGGAAATATACACCGCGAAGTGGCCCAATCAAGCGCCGCCAGCACCACTATACCCACGATACCAAAGTCAACGTCCTGATGTTTTTAGAGCATCACCACGTGAGGAAGCTCGACGAAGAGTCGATTTGCCCCCCGAGGCTGCGCCAGGGCGAGACCGAGCTCCCAGGGATATACAGACGTCCCACATACCAGGAAGCCGCAGATTGGTTCAAAGTCCCTCGAAGCACGGTTATCTCCTGGTATCAGAACCGCGAGTCAATCGTCAATCGGTCCTCCAACTACGCCTACCACCCTCAGTGGCCAGAGCTCGAGACAGCGCTATACGGCGCCTTCCGCCAGCGACGAAGTGAGGGAAAGCTCGTTAGTACCAGTTGGTTCAAAAGGACCGCTAAGCGGATTTTCGCCCAGCAGAACCCGAACAGCAAACATCTTTTTATTTTTTCCCCCGGTTGGTTTCGTGGCTTCCAGAATCGTATGAGAATTACCCGACGTCGACTTACCAAACAGGCAACGAAGTTACCCACTGAGTACTTCAAAGTTGTCAACAGCTTTCTTTCCTTTATCCGACGAGTTAATCAAATGGCCCTGGCTAAGGTGAAGCGGTCTAACGTCGGAGATTTACTCGGAAGTCCAGCCCGTCGATTTCCTAACTCGCGAATTCTCAACCTCGACGAGACCCCAGTTCCTTTCGAATACCTAGACGGTTACACATACGACGACGTCGGGGCCAAAACCGTGGCTGGCAAGAGCGACCGCAGCGGTTGGGGCAAGCGGCAGGCCACATTAATACTCTACATCTTCGCCGACGGCATACAACGAATTAAACCGAAAATAATATTCCACGGCAAGCCCGCAGAGGAAGGGGGTCAATTATGGAAAAAAGAGGGCCTATTATACGCAGAAGGAGTGACAGTTGAGTTCAACAAGACTGCCTACAACAATGAGTACTTGTTCAAAAGATGGATTGAAGAGGAATTGGTAGCGCTGACTAAGGGAGACGAGTACCTATTGGTAATGGATGTCGCTTCCTTCCATAAGACAGATTCCATCCTTGCGCTATTACGTCAGCACCACATCACACCCTGCCTCATACCGCCAGGGACCACTTCCCTCCTCCAACCTCTCGATACCGCAGTCAATAAGCCCTTCAAGCAGTGGCTTTCAGAAGCAACCGACGCTTACGTACTCGACGAGGAAGAAAAAGCGCTGAATAAGCAGGAGGAGCTCAAGTGGGAGACGGGTATGAAGAGAAGAATGGTCACCAAAACAGTCGAGACGGCAGCCGCTAAATTGGCCCACGAGAAGGGCTCAATGGTCAGCCAGGCCTTCCTGCAGTGCGGAATATCTATTCGGCCCGATGGCAGCCAGGTCGACGAGATCCGGATCAAAGACGTGCCCGCCGAGGCCATCGATTACACTGGGTGGGAGCTCTTCGACGTAGAAGCCCACATTGAGCAGGAGACGCTGCAAGAGGAGATTCCAGACTTCGCTGTTCTGAACGACGGGTTAGAGTACATTTTCACAGCAGAGGAAGTCCGTGATGGCATCAATGGGCAGTTCGTCGACCCGACAGTCCAACCGCCGTATGAATAGGGGCCCGTTGGAGGCAGTGGGCCAGGGGACAGTCAGGGGCTCGGTTGCTTACGTACGACTGCTTCCAATTGACACTTTTGCCCTTTTTGCCAATTCGACGAGAAAAGCTCAAAACCGACGAGAAAGCCAAAATAATTATTGAATTATATCAATTGTGGGTCCGGCCTCGACGGCGAGCTCTCATTGGTCAGATCGATCGAAATGTTAACCTACGCCAAAAATAGGTGGCGGCCGCATTTAACCACTTTAGGCAGTATTACGATTCTGCCAGAGCGCTAGCAGGGCTGGCACGGGCTAGCGCAAGTTCGAGTTGCTCGAGTTTCTACGGTACCTCACCTTACTTCGTAGACAGCACCCCCAGGTGGTGAGGTCAGGTCAGCCCAGCCCAGTCGAACTAACCCACGGGTTTCAGGCGCCGTCGAACAGGGAAAACACCTAGCAGGGAGGAAAGTGATCCAACTCCTCCATCTTTGGATCCTTGGCAGGCGCACCATAGCACCATAGCACCACAGCACCCGGCCGCCAACCAAGAACTTGGGACCTTGATCTTCTCTTTTGGTAGAATCTGATGGCAGTACTAACTTTCTCACCACCACCCACCCACCTCACTTCACTTCACCTCTGCTCACCACTCAAACACAATAACTTGATCCTCCCATGCTTTTGTACACAATATTGCTCCGTACACAACCACCACACCGGCTGCTGTCCCGATAACTTTGTGCATTGCGTGCGCCTCGAACAACCTTAGCCCACCGCAGTCATAGTTGCTCGGTAGGTATCCTTCCAGGGTTCCCCAATTATCTCTCCACCTGTCTTACCTGAGCAACAACAACACACGCACACTGCACGCACAGCACAAAGGACCCCCTCGCCGTCTTTGCCGCTACCAATTGCTGTTCTCCCGCCTCTTCTAACTGTACTCCGTACCTTGCCAATTACTCTACCAAACAACCTACCACTACCAAGGTACTGCTATTACTGCTACCACCATCACTTGTTGACTTGCTGGCTCCATCCGTCATAAAATTCCCCCCGCATTCCACTGAATCT